TATCTGACCGATTTGAATGACGAAGATCGAACAGACCGGACCCCAAACCAGTGTGTTGTTGAACCGGTTGAAAGAGGAAATAGAACAGGCTGTACCCAACCCAGTCGACGTGAAACCCGTTGGATGTCGAACCGTCCCAAGGAGCGCATTAACCCATCGACCCGAACCCGTCGATGACCCATCAACCCGTTGGACGTCGAACACGTTGGATGAGGAAGTCGAACACGCTGGACCCAACCCGTTGGACGTCAAACCCGTTGGGAGTTGAACACGCTGGACCAAACCCGTTGGACGTCAAACCCGTTGGACGTCAAACCCGTTGGACGTCAAACCCGTTGGACGTCAAACCCGTCCCAGGAGCGCATTAACCCGTTGGGAGTTGAACACGCTGGACCCAAACCCGTTGGACGTCAAACCCGTCCCAGGAGCGCATTAACAGGTTGGACGTCGAACCCGTCCCAGGAGCGCATTAACCCATTGGACCCGAACCCGTTGGATGAACCCATCAACCAACCCGTTGGACGTCGAACCCGTTGGATGAGGAAGTCGAACACGCTGGACACAAACCCGTTGGATGTCAAACCCGTCCCAGGAGCGCATTAACCCGTTGGGAGTTGAACACACTGGACCCAAACCCGTTGGACGTCAAACCCGTCCCAGGAGCGCATTAACAGGTTGGACGTCGAACCCGTCCCAGGAGCGCATTAACCCATTGGACCCGAACCCGTTGGATGAACCCATCAACCAACCCGTTGGACGTCGAACCCGTTGGATGAGGAAGTCGAACACGCTGGACACAAACCCGTTGGATGTCAAACCCGTCCCAGGAGCGCATTAACCCGTTGGGAGTTCAACACGCTGGACCCAAACCCGTTGGACGTCGAACCCGTTGGATGAGGAAGTCGAACACGCTGGACCCAAACCCGTTGGACGTTAAACCCGTTGGACGTCAAACCCGTTGGACGTCAAACCCGTTGGATGAGGAAGTCGAACACGCTGGACACAAACCCGTTGAACGTCAAACCCGTTGGACGTCAAACCCGTCCCAGGAGCGCATTAACCCGTTGGGAGTTGAACACGCTGGACCCAAACCCGTTGGACGTTAAACCCGTTGGACGTCAAACCCGTTGGACGTTGAACCCGTTGGATGAGGAAGTCGAACACGCTG